CAATTTTATTTATTAAAGATCAAAAGTTAAATTAATTTCTCAATTTTTCAAATCAAGATAACAAAATCTAACTAAATTAATCTTCGAAAAAAATATATTACATTTCTCTGTTATTACAATAATATCTATCTTAATATTGTTACAAAACAAAATCATTTAAAATAATTGCAAAATATCATCCAGTTATATTTATTTCTATCGCAGAATAAATTCGATTCTTTCTCATACATCATCGTGTCGCATTACCTTTTTAAATACGAATTCGCAGTGACAATATCGAACAAAATTATAAATTGCACTGCACCCTATCATTTAGATAATTCATATTTCAATCACAGAAGAAAGTTGAAATCTCACGACTATATCCTCTATATCTCGAATGACAATATGCAATAAAATAATTCGTTGGATCGTATCGCATCGCGTCACACTCGATGACGATGCTCAATAACGACACGACACGAAGAATCCTCGAGCAAAATATCGAAAAGTGGTATCGTGCACTCGTGTGCACGATATCGAAGCAAGAAGATTCTAGACCCCACGTGAATTTTGCCGTATGTTCGCCGAGTTCTTCATCGGCGACCAAATATAGCCGGGTAATGTTATACACGTCACGTGGTCAGAAATAGCCTAAGAAGAGGGCCTAGCCGAGTGTGCACACGGCACTGTGCACCCTCCGCCGTCCCTCCGTTTTGAAACGAGGCGGACTACCAGAAGCGATGAGGAAAATACGTTTACCTCTTCACGCTCGTTAAACCAGTTACCAGAGAGAAAGGTGATACCGGGTACAGACAGAAACGTGGATCGTAAAAGACGAGTATATAAGCGGTATAGGCCGATGGAAATCCCTCGCGTCAACGAGCGATATATAACGAGGGAGACGAAACGAAATTTATTTTTTTTTTTTCTTAATCCCTTAAGGTTTAAGGCATTCTCGAATAGAAAAATGAAAATTATGCGGGGAAAAGATTTTTCTTTCTTCCTACGATGTTCTTTAAGAAGAATGCATTCTTTTTTTTTTTTTTTCCTTTAAATTATTTTACTATGTAATATAATGGGGAAACATTGAGATAAAACAATGGAATTTGGAATAAGTGGATCTTCTTAATCGTTTAAGAATTTTTGTGAAAATTTTTAACTTTCGTTGTGTTGTTTGATTAATTTAAAAATTGGTATATTTTACATCGAATTATGAATATATATTTAGTAGTAATTTATTATTATCTTAACGAAAATTGGAAGAAAAAAAAATCGAAGATCTTTATTATTGCTATTGTAATAGAGTTTTAAGATTAGATTAGATTTATTAGTTTGTAATTGGTAATATCAATTGATTTAACTATGCGTGATTATAGATTTTTTTATAGATTAAATTAGATATAGATGAAATAATTGAAACTATCTTTTATTTAATTTTATATCTTATATTATCGAGAAAATTTGTTAAATTCAATATTAATATAGAATTTTAATTACTCGATTATTATTATTATTATTATTATTATTATTATTATTATTATTATTATTATTATCCACTGCTGATTATTTTTCATCAAATTTTTAATTAATTTCTCTTTTCAAATTTCCCGCCTAAGATAGATGCGAACCAATAAAATTTCAATTATTCAATTATTATGTGCCAAACATTTGTTATCAAATTCCTAATTTTATCTTTAATCTACTATTATTATCCGCCCACGAATACTTTTTAATCCAATTGTTGTAATATTCTCTTTTCAAAAATTCCCGCCTCAAATAGAAGCGAATCGGTGAAAGGTGTTATATACTACCCCGGCCCGTAACGTCGTCTTAATATATACACGGCCAACTCTGAAACAACTTGAACGTTCCAAGAATCTCCCGAACCGGCCTAAACTCCTAAACTTCGCACGTTTCTACACTACTCTTCTCGAACGAAACTCATCGGATTTTGCTTTCGTTTTTCGATGTCAAATATAGCCCTGCATCTGGACTCGGTTTTCAAAGCAAAGTAGCAACACTTCGACTACTCTTCTCTCCCCTTATTTTAGCCGTGTATAAATCTGCCAAGTGTTGCACCGTGGGGATCGCTCGTTAACAATCCTCGCGAGTCGCGATTGTCCGATCGATCGTCACGCTGATTAAGAACGGCCCGTTTCTATTTCTATCCACCTCGATTTCCATCCAACGATTCACCCACCCCGTTACGAAAGTTTCGGCATTATTTTCAAGGTGGTGAGCCGGTTTACGAGCCGTGATTCATTCCACGGGTGTTCTCGGGTACACATTTCGTAAGCAAAACGCGGACGAATTTATGACGCGGGGAAACGTGGCTGGCAATTACGTTGCGGAGTGCAAAAGTCAATTTACATTCGCTGCTCCTATATTTGTCCGCAGCCTGGCGCATTCGTACATTCCGAGACGATAATCTTTTATGCGGGAGAAAGGCTTTCTTTTGGTACAGACTTTTGTGATTGTTCTTCTGATTTTTTTTCTTTTTTTTTTTTTTTTTTTTTTTTTTTTTTTTTTTGATTTGTGATTTTGATGATACACTATTCATCGATTTTGATTCTTTTAATATGATTTTTGGTATGAATTTAATTAATTTGATAGATTTCTTTGGTTCAGAGTGTTGCAAATTCTCTCTGATTTTATTTTATTTTATTTATTTTTTGTTGATTTTTGTTTTACATTTGTTTGGAGTAATTTTTAGGATATTTAAAATCTTTCATGAAGAATTTTTTTAAATTTATACGATGATTTTTCTATTTTTGGGATAATTTTCGAGCTATTTAGTATGTTTCAGGGAAAATTTCTTTGAATTTAACTGCGTTAACCGTTTTTATTTTATTTGAAATAATTTTTAGAGTATTAAAGTCTCTCGTGGGAAATTCTTTTCAAATCTAATTTTTGTTCATCACCTTTTCTTCTGTTTCAAATAATTTCGAATATTTAAAGTATTTCGTAAAACATTTTTACTTTATCCTAGCTCTTCTTAAAATTGTGTTTATAATATTCTTTTTCAATAGTATATTTTAATTTTGATATTTAGAGAGATTTTGTAATCCAATTTTTTGTTACAATTTAATTTTTACGTTTAACATTTTAAATTTTCACTCACATATATATGCGTATGTAACTATGAATTTCGAGATGCCATTAATGATAAACATTTCAGTAGACCCTTAATCAATCCTAATGCACATGATGTATGCAATGCTAGATCGTATCGAATCGGCAACAAACGAGGCTTATGCGTACTTAAAACATTGGTTTTTATTGGCCTTTCCATTGTACAATAATAAATAATCGATTAGTAAAACGTTAAAGGAGAAATTATTTGCGTGTAGGCTGTGTAACTAAATAAATTTCATCATCACGTCAGTGTAGAACTAACTAACAAATCATTCCTAATATAATAATATATTTAATGCATCGTGTGAATACACTTATATGTATATATTATATATATATATATTTTTTTACGATATATATATTTTATCATGTTTTTTCCTTTTTTTTCCTTTTTTTTTTTTTTTTTCAATAATGAACATCGACGCTAAATCGAACGAGTAAACGAGTTACGTATTCGTTGTACCGTTTCCAAAAGATCCAAATTTCTCTTTTCACCCATATTTCCTTCACCACAACATTTTTTTTTTTTTTATCTCGATTTCATAATATCGATATTGTTCGAAATTCCCGCCATCGAGATTTATGTACAAAGCGGAGCAAAAGAGGAGAATTCGCACGAGGAGATTCGTTCTCAAAATTCTCAAGCGATTCTTGTCCAAAGCACCACCTCATTAAATATCAAAATCAATCAAAAAGAATCGAATTCGACCATTCGAAAAGACGCTCGTAGTCTCGCTCTCGTAAATCGCACCTTGTTGGATGGAAAATCAACTACGCTCGTCTTAATCGAATCTCGACACGCTTCGATTTTTTTCCGTTTTCCACCTTAAACGAGTTCAATTCTACAAAACATTTCATCATTTTTTTAAATTGAAATCGATCTCATTTTCAGCACCACCTCCGCGATATTTCTCACTTTTAATCTTAATTTTAAATTTGTTGCATCTAATAATTTTTTCCCTCTTACCGATTATAATTATATATCTATACTTCTCTATATAATTATCTATTTCTTTTTGTTCTGTGAAACAACACGTACACTCGAGACAAAAATTTTTGCCTCTCTGCAAAAACATGTATCACTTTCCTCGTTTCACTCGCTCGTCTACTATTTTTGTGTATTTTTTTTTTTCTATTTTACTTTTTATTATGTTTTTTTCTTTTTGAAAAACAAAAAGAACAAAAAAAAACACGACGAGTTAGTACAAAACTCCCCGGGCTCGCTCGTGACTTTGATTAAAAAAGGGTCGAGAGCGGGGAACAAGGGGTTGAACATTGGTAACGATTCGCTTGGTGGGTTAGGTTTCTTCTTTTTTTTTCTTTTGTAGAGAAAAACAACAAAAAAGCGAAAAAAAAATAAAAATACGCACGGGTGTCCTCGACGAATCGCGATCGACGAAGGAACACGTGATTTTTGAAACGATTTAATGTAATTAATTTCACAAAGTTAATTATTTATATATATATATATATATTTGTTGAATGATTCAATTATTATCAATTATTCAGTTTTTGATTTCAATAATTCTTTGGTAACAAAATTTAAAAAAATAAAAATTCTAATGAGAAGATAAAAAATTGATTTTAAATAAAAAAAACCTATTAATGAATATAGTATTGATATAAGAGTTAAGTGAATTAAATTGAATCTTTTGAAATTAATCATTATCTCATCAGACTGTCATTATTATTAATATTAGTAATTTTTAGAATTTTTTTTTTTTTGTATTTTCTTTCTCTCTCTTCTTTTCCTATTCATAACATGGAAGAGAAATCGTTTCACGCGTGCACGTGTTCCTCCGTAACACTCTAAAGGCAAATCCCGTAGATTCAATCGCGTCTCGTGTTAGCAATTGAATTTGTATCTTTTATTCAATTCTTACTTTTTACGATGAGTTTGGCGGAAGTTTCTACGGTGCCGGCTGATGTGGTAGCCCGGCAGGTGAAGGTGCCAGTGTCTTCTTCGTACGTGGTTGCTATCAGCAACACGGCGTTGTTGCTTTCGTGAATCATCTGGAAAATTAAGTTTGAAATTGAATCGAAATTAGAAGAGAACGTATAATGAGATATTTTATTGATTTTATATTCAAATTTAATTATGAATATTTAATATCTCATTGTCTAAGAAGGATTAATTCGATTTTGGAGGTTAACTCACCTGAAAATCGGGTGACTGAGGAATTAGGGCACCTTCGCGATACCATTGGATCGTTGGCTTTGGTTTAGCTGGAGTAACTTGAGTCTTGAATTGTGCCGGCTGTCCTTCAAATACTATTTGATCTTTCAGTGGTGACAATTTGGGGAGAATATCAGCTGCATCGGGGGCTAAAGTAAGATAATGATTATTTAATATATAGTAAGTAAATATCTAATTTATAACGATTATTAAACTTAGGATTTCTTCATATTGTATTTATTTTGAATATTAAACATAAATCATATAGTATTCCTATCATAAAGTGTCTAAAAATTTAAGAAATAATTCTTTAAACAAAAAAAAATAGACTTTTATAATTTTGTTCGATTAATTCTGAAAATAATGATCTCAGGTAAATCAATAAAAAATTATTGAAAGTGAAATCTTGCTTTTTAAACTTTTTTAACATCTTTTTATCTAAATACGATTTCCGATTTCTGAGATATCGTTGTGTAAAAAAAAGGTAATTTTTAATTATTTACCTTAAACTTTATTAAAAGCAAAACTACTAGCAAAACTTTAAATCGTTATAACTCCGAAGATAATAACTTTTGATCAACAAATGAACGATCATTAGAAAGCCAAAACTTTGCCCTTTAAAACGCTTTTTCATTTATCTCGATAGGACTTCCGGTTCCCGAGATATCGTCGTATAAAGAAAAGAGTAATTTTCGATTATTTACCATCTTCATCCTTGTCTTTTATTCGGATCTCTCGCTCGCACCTTGTCTCACTAATCTATCTCAAATGAATTGATTCTTTAAAGTAGTGCATATTTCCAAGAAAAAATATAGATTGCAGCCCATTCATAATATTCTAGCATTAAATACTCTGGAAATTTTTAGTACTTATCTCGGCAACCAATTGATATATCGAGATAAAATAAAAAGAAGTTTTTTAATCTTTAAAAAGTTATGATTTTGTAATCATTTGTGATTTTGCGAGTGATGATTTATATTAAAGTATATAGAGACTCAAATTTATTTAATTTTCACATTATTTAAGATACAGTTGAGTTAGAATATTATTAAAATTTTTGCATTGGTGAATTTCTTACCAAGAACTCTGAGGTTTGCTGAAGTGGTCACATCACCGGCTGGATTCTTGGCAATGCACTTGTAAACTCCCTCATCTTCGGGGAATGCCTCAGAGATTCTCAAGGTGCAGAGGTCGCCATCCTTTTGCATTTGGAAATATTTAGATGGTTTGATAACCTGCAACGATAAATAAATTTTAGTTTTCCGGACATATCGTCTTTTAACCCAATCGTATTATTTTATCATGCATACCTTGTCGCCTTTCTTCCATTGCACCGTGGGTACCGGTTTCCCAGTGATCCTACACGCGAACGCGACCGACGTACCCTCTCTGATAGTTTGATCTTTCAACGGCTCCAACACCTGCGGCGCCTTCTCAACGCCAGGTGTCGTTGGTTTCGCGGTTTTGGCGGGAGATTGAGGGCCACGGACCGTGCACTCGGCGTCGCAACGCGCCTCTCCAGCGCTGTTTATCGCGACGCATTCATATTTGCCCGAATCTTCTGGTATGGTTTCCAGAATCAACAGGGTGTAGGTGTTGTCCTCTTCGAGTGTCTTGTAACGAATGTCTGCCGTCACTTTCTTGCCGTTCTGTAATTTGATTACAATTGGTTCTAGTGTTCTGAATAATTTCTATATTAGTGATATATAATAATATGAAAATGTGTTATGTCTTTGTATAAATTTATTATTTAAATATTATAAGAAAAGAATTATTTGTAAAATAAAATTGTAAAAACTAGTTTACATGGAATTTTACAATTTGCAATTTATTCATCAATATGATTAACTAAGAGTCTCTAATTTTTCACCAATTGAGTTATTCCTCATATTATTGTTAACGAAAGTTTAGCTTCAATATTCAATATTGTTTATTCTTTCAAATGATAATTCCAAATCATTTCATTATATTAAATCAAAAAGAAGAAGAAACACCCATTACCTTCAACCAATAAACATCCAAAGGCTTAGTTCCGGTCACTTTGGCGTCAAATCTAGCCAGTTGGCCAGTGGTGACCGAGGTGCTTTGAATGGTGGATAGGAAGCTAGGTGGCACCACTCCACCTCTGCCCGGTTGCCTTCTACGCTCCTCTACCACCAAATTCGCACTGCATTTCGCCTTCCCACCGCGATTCTCAGCGATCACGGAGAACACACCGGAATCCTCCATGAAAACTTGGCGAATGATCAACACCGATTTCGTGCTGAACGTGTAGATCTGAAGATCCGGAGAGTTCTGTATGGGGAAATCCTCGCGGTACCATTTGATGGTCGGCAATGGATCGCCATCGAATTCGACCTCGAATCGTGCTTGCTCCTGCTCGAACGCTCTGCAAGGTTGAATCTTCTTCGTGAACACAGGAGGTTTGGCAGGTTTCGTTGGACCTTGAACGATGCGCTCCTGAGTTTTCGCTTTGTGCTCCACCTCGGTCGTTTCCGTGGCCGTTATCTTTCTGGTGATCTCCAGATCGCCTTTCACCTCTTTCTGGATCTGCTTCTGCTTGGCTACGTGCACCTCGCGCCCGTGCACCGTGGATTCCGACGGCTCTGGAGGATACCTTCCTTTCACGCGCTCCATATCGATGTCCACTTCCGTCGTGTGTGGCTTCTTCACGAATTTCGTGGTTGTCTGCTGCGTCTCCTGAATCTTCTCCTCCTTCTTGTCATCCCTAAAAATTTTCAATTTTTCCACTCGTTTATTTATTCATTTTTGAATAATTAAACTTCGTAAATTGAATTAGAAAATATAATTCGTGTCCATTTTTTAATATGTAACACGTCAAGAACGAGACATAAAGTACTTGAACTTAATCAATTAGCGTATGATATGTAGTATGTTATAACAAATAAATAATAGTGTATATATACTTTTTATAATTTTGTATAAAAGTATATAAAATTAAAAGAAAATGGAAATGGAAAGAGTTACTTACAGCGTCTCCTCGTATTGCTGGGCCATCCCTTTTGCCACAGAATGGGCGACAACTTTTTCGCCAGGAATGGCGAACTGGTGGCTGGATTCTCTCAATCTACTCTCCTTTAAGACCTGTTCCTCTTCGAGAGTCATCAGTTTGTTGTAATAATCCTCGTTCTTCTTACTCTTCACAGATTTTTGCCATTCGGTCTCTGGTTCCTTGTAGACCTTCTGTCCAAGGTGTTCGGTGGCGATCTCGATGCCCTGAGAGATGTTATGGTGCCTCTCGTCGAAAACTCTCTCGAGTTCTGTGTTCTGTCGCTCCGTTTGGTATTGGGTCAGCCCGTAATCATACCAAGCTAGGGAAAATACACGTTAGACCTCCACCCGTTTCTCGAATTTACGTCACAACGCATGCCAGACGAACTTTGGAAACATTCAATTTTTCGACTGAAAATATGGCGTCTCCTCGATCGCTTTGAATTTTTATATCACTCTTATAATGCAAGTAATGCAAGTAAATAAAGACGAAAGGAATAATTTCTCTTTAGAATATCTTAATATTTTACTTTATTCGAATATTAGCAAAAATTTTTTGTAAAAAATGTTGAATGTTGTATAATTCCGAATTTTTCCTAAATTATTGAAAAATTATGAGATGGATGAAACGAAGGATTAATTATTTATATGAAAATAATAAATAAAGATTAAATTATTATTTATCAAATTTATCGAATGATATCGAATAAGAGACAAAGTGGAATCGAGGAGGACTGCTATACTTTAGACAGAAAAAAATCACGGGGAATTACGACACAGTACTTCATTGGCGATGCAACACATAACGACGCCAGCTGCGCGAGAGGGACAGGACGCCCGGATACCAGGCAACCGGAGACAGAGGTGGACATCCGGATGATTCAAGTTAGATCACGTGGAACCACGGTTCCAATCTCGTTGGAATCACATCGAACAATCAACGATACTGAACATTTCTCATTGACAAATACAGAGAGATCCAGTAAATACTTATTTCTAAATTGCAAAATTTATATTTTAATAAATTACGACGACTAAATAAAGACGATACTTTTTTTTTCTTTATGAAACACTGAATCTCTGCTGTTTGAAAATATCTTTTAAGGGGTAACGAGGGGTTTTATATACACGTTTCTTAAATAAATCCATCACGCGATGAGTATTATTTACATCGATATTGAATAGCACTCTGAGAAATACGGACCCTGCTCACAACTAATTTTAAAAAATTAATAATAATGAAATCTATTAGATGAATGATGTTATGTAATGAATAATAAATAATAATTAAATAAAATTGATTAAATGAAATGATTTATATATATAAATAAATACAAAATATCGAAAATAATAATTGAGCAATACATCCGTTTTCTCCAGTGCAATAAAAATTGGCCACACGGAGGAAAATATATCGTGCAAAAAAAAAAAACCTTACGAATTAATATAAAAAATAAAAATAAATGTGATGATCCACCGTTACTTCTACTAAAAATAATCAATATTTTTCTCCGTGCACAATTCATTTCATGTTTGGTGAAACATGAAAGAAAATGAAAAACAATGACAATACATATGTGTGTATACAATATACATGTGTATATATATTATATATACAAAAGTAAGCAAAATAATCTATAATAACGACTTGCTTTCTCTTTGGTTTGTGTTTCTCATACCTGAAAACGAAGATACCTTTTAGCCGAGATTGCTCGAATACGCCCGTCGAAATCCCGAACCCCAAAGACGAAGGAAGAAGAAGAAGAAGAAGAAGAAGAAGAAGAAGAAGAAGAAGAAGAAGAAGAAGTTGCTTGTGTCGCCTGAGGACGATCTTTCGAATCCTTTCGTAACATTTTCTTTCTTTTTTTTTTTGACGGAAGAAGGAGAAAAGGGACAATACATGGATAAGGTATATATGTTCGAGTGTTATTATTGTACTCGAATGGAAATGTATGTGTCGTATCGATATCTCATGTAGGTACTGTGTTGCGGTTGTCGTTTATATAATATTTTTCGATTGCATATATACGTAATACCATATTCTATTTAATTTTATTATTATTTTATATATATATTTTTTCGTGTAGTATTATATATAGTGCCATATGTTCGATATATCGACGAAATATATCTAACATTGTTCTTTGTTCTATGTACGTGCATTCTTTGCGAGGTGATGGATCGATCGATCAATTTATTTGTTCGAATAATTATTGTCTCCATGTATTATGATATTCATGTGTTCAGAAGTTCACAAACGGAATATTATGTTTCAGTGAGGTATAAATAGGTTCGATGAAACGCAAAGAATGCGACGACATGTTCATGTATTGGGATATATGTTTCGGGATAGGTAACTTACGTCTTGGCGAGTTCTTCAACACGCCACGATAATCGTCGCTTCGTGGTTTCACTGTCAATGTGGTTTCGGTACGTGCCTCGCCTACTGAGCTTCTCGCGATCACTTCCACTTTTCCGTGATCGTATTGCCTCGTTTTCGGGATGTCCAGGTGATACATGCCGTCGTAAGTCAGTTTATAACGTGATCCCTGTGAGAATTTATAGATAAAAGAAATTCGTGAATTACAAAAATTAATCAATTATTATAATCGTAATTGTAATTTAATTTTAATTGTAGAGTCTTGTATTATAGAAGTTCGCAATGGATTTTAATTTTTGATGAAGAATCCAACGAAATTAAATAATTTTTTTCCTTTAAGTTCGAAAATATAAAAATATTGATGCTCACGTTGACCACGGTATGTCCATTGATGATCCACATGACACGGGGTCTTGGGTGACCAGTGACACGACAGCAGAACCTGGACCAATCGCCCTCTTCGACGGTCACTGGTTCTGGTTTGCTCACGAATGTTGGGGGCGCCCTCACCTTCTCTTCTTCACCTTCTTCCTCAGGTACTCTGTGCAGAATATTATATGCATAAGGTAATGATTCAATGCTACTGTAAAGTGTTCTGTATATAAAATTATTTGACACGTTTCTTGAAAAAGAGAAATATTAATTAATAAAAAAAAAATGTTTATTACATTTGCCATGCAGCTTCCATTTCTCTGATCTTTTCGATACTCTTCATGCCCTTCGGTAATTGGGACTCGTAAATAATTCCAGGCTTGCCAGCCGTTCGAATCACCGCCCGTGTCTCGTCCATCCCATAAAGATTCGTGGCCTTGCAAAGGTATTCGCCGCTGTCTTCGGGATAGACCCAGCCGAAATTCATGGCCACGTAACCAAAGTCGTAAATAGGGGTGAATCTGTTCTTATGCGGTAGAGGTTTGCCATTGAAGAACCATTCGACCTTCATGTTTGGATCGCCGACAGGCGCCAATTGACATTCGAATTTCGTGCTGTTCATCTCGACAAGCTCGGTTTGATCTTGGATCTGGGTGACGAAACGAGGCGGTTGTTTCTTGTCCGCGTCGTAGAGATCGTCCTCCGTAAGATGGACTTCTGAGGTGTATTTCTTGATAGTCGCTTCCATCTGCATCAACGCTTCCGATTTCTTCATACCTTTTGGCACTTGGTTCTGTAGAATGATGTTGGGCAACTCTGTGAATAAAAGAATTGGCGATTTTTGAAACTTTGTTCCATTAGATAAGTCTTAATAATTTTTAATTATTATTAATTAAAAATTAATTAAAAATTTTTAATTATTATTGAAGTAAGAATTATCGAAAAGTAATTATACTTTTTGAAAAGTTAGTAGCAAACTTTTAAAAATTATGAAATGACAGTTTATTTGGTATAACTTTTCGACGAAAAAAATAATAAGAAGACATTATAAAGTATAATTAAAATTTACAAAAGATATATATAATATATAAACAAATTTTAAATTTTTCAAAAGATAAAATTAAGAAACTTACTTTTGCAGGATACCGATGCCCTAGTGGTGTCTTCTCCGAGATCATTGATAGCTTTGCACACGTATTCTCCCGAGTCTTCAGGGTAGACGTACAAGATATCCATAGACACGAATCCCATGTCGTACATTGTTCTGTATCTGTGTCCAGCCGGGATCAATTTTCCATTTCTGTACCACTCGATACGCAGATTCGGGTCGTCCTTAGGTTCCACGCGACACTCGAACCTGACCGCTTCCGATTCGTCCACTGTCGCTGATTGAATATGCGTGATGAATTTCGGTGGTTGACGTGGTGGCTCTTCAGGCGGTGGTTCGCTGACTGGACCACGTTCTAGTTCCTTCAGTTTCTCGCCACTCATGCCTGAAGGCAGCTGCGAGTCGAAATCTATGGTTTTCTTAGCTGGAATGTTTGAAAATTGATGTATTATTAGGATTGGAAACTGACGAAATCTCGAATACTTTTAATATCTAGAGATGTTAATTTTTAAAAAAAGAAAATAAGTGAATAACTATATATAATAATTCTACTTACATTTACAAGTTATGGTAGCTTTAGTAGTAGCAGAACCCCACTTATTGGTAGCTCTGCAAACATACTCGCCGCTGTCCCTGGCATAAGTATACGACATATCCAACGAGATAAAACCAAAATCGTTTATCTGGTGCACGCGAGATCCAGTGGCGAACGATCTTCCATTGTGGAACCAATCAATGCGCATCGTAGAATCGCCGACAGGTTCGACTCTGCAATCGAAATGACTGGGCGCGCCTTCCTCTACCTCGATGTCCTTCAACTCGACGGTAAACTTGGGAGGATTGGGCGTCTCTTCCTCGGTCAATATCTCATCCTTCTTGTACAAAGCCTCTTCCAACTTCTGGATACTCTCCGTTCCGGTCTTGAAATTGGTAGGCAGCTGGGGTTCCAAGATGATCCCTTGTCGTCCACGGACTTGAAGTTTGCACGAGACTGTTGCTTCGCCGTGGCGGTTGGTCGCCTTGCACGTGTACAGGCCTGAGTCGCGTTGGTAACAATTGGCCACCTCCAGGATGACGAAGCCAAAGTCGTGGATGGTCTTGATCCTGGTTCCAGCCAGAAGAGGCTTTCCATTGTGGAACCATTCCACCCTCATGCTAGAGTCGTTGATAGGTGTCAATCTGCACTCGAAATGCGCCAAGGAATTCTCGGTTAGGGTTAAGTCGGACGGAGTTGTGATGAATTCCGGTGGTTTCCCCGTATCGTCGTCTGGGATCACTTCGCCTGGCTCGTTTCCAAGACCTTCCAGCTCGGCTATCTTGTCGATGGTGCCCTCCATTCCCTTTGGCAGTTGGGATTCGAGGATGATGCTTCGTTTCCCTGTGCACTTCATGGTGCAGGTGGTCACTGCTTCGCCATAGTCGTTCGTTGCTCGACAACTGTACTCGCCAGAATCCTCTGGATAGATGGGCGAAATCTCGAGGATCACGAAGCCGAAGTCGCAGAAGGTGCGGAAACGAGTGCCTGTTCGCAGCGGTTTACCGTTCCAGAACCATTCGACCTGTGAACAGTTTTTATTTTCTTCGTGTAATTTATTTTCTTCTTGTTCGAAGATGCTTGGAATTGATTACTTTAAATATCGACATAAACGAGAATAATGATGAATTAATAATACAGTTACCTTTAGTTTTGGATCGTCAGTGGGTGTAAGTCTAGCTTCAAAGTGCGCGCTCTCTCCCTCGCGAAGGCCATCGATGTTGCTCAAGGGCACGGTGAAGACAGGAGCCTTTCCTCTTTCCTCGACGATCTTTTCGTCTCTTGTTCGAATCATCGAATCTTCCAAAGTCTGGATCTTTTCCAATCCACCTTCCATTCCCTTAGGAAGTTGAGATTCCAAAATGAGACTCGATTTGGAGTAACATTTCAAAGTCGCCTTAGTCGTGTCCTCGCCGTACTTGTTGAAAGCTCTACATTCGTAGACCCCAGAATTTTCCTCGTAACAATACAATATATCCAAGATAACGATACCAAAATCGTGGAAGGTTCTATATCTATGTCCATGAGGCAGTTTCTTTCCATTGTAGTACCACTCGACTTTCAAGTCTGGATCATTGACAGGTGTAAGTCTGGCCTCGAAATGAGCGGATTGTCCTTCGACCAGTTTCGTGATATCGGAGATTTGCGTGATGAATTTAGGTGGCTCTGCCACTGGTGTCGTTGGCGTGGTAGGTTGTTCACCACCATAACTCTCCAACTCCCTGATTCTGGCCAGGGAATCGGGTTGCAACGAGTCGAGGTATACCCCGCTCTTTCCAAAGCATTTCAACGTGGCTTTGGTGTAATCTTCGCCGAATTTGTTGCTTGCTTTGCACACGTACTCTCCAGTGTCGTGAGCCATCACGCCAGCAATGTCCATCACGACGAATCCAAAGTCGGACACCATCTTGAACCTGGAAGAGTGTCTCAGAGGTTGTCCGTTGTGGAACCATTCAACCTTCATATGAGGATCCCCGACTGGGATCAGAGTGCACTCAAAGTGCGCCGATTGGCCATCCTTCAGACCCTCCAGAGACTGGATATGGGTGGTGAACTTTGGTTTCTGTCCTTTAGATTTGTCCACGCATTCCAATTGCACGCTGATCTCAGCCTGACCCCATTTGTTGGTAGCCCTGCAGGAATAGGTGCCAGAGTCCTCTATCTTGGTTCCAAGAACTTCGAGAACGACCATGCCAAAGGCGTAGACCGTTCTCGTGCGATGACTGGCCTCTAACGATTTTCCATTGTAGAACCACTCGACTACCATTGTTTGGTCACCAGTTGGCGTAAGAGATGCCTCGAAGTGAGCTATCTCCCCTTCAGATAGATTGGTCAGGTTCTCGAACTGAGACGTGAATACAGGTGGATGACCTTCCTCGCTCTCCGGTGGAGCTCCTTCCTGTCGTTTCAACGATTCTTCTAGATCTTGAATCGCTTCGAGACCTTCTTTGCCCTTTGGATGTTGGGATTTCTCTATGATGTTCTCCTTAGTCGAGCAGTAGATCGTGGTCGAAGTGAAGGCTTCTCCTGCCTTGTTGTAGGCTTTGCAGGTGTAAATCCCAGAGTCACGATCGTACACATCAGTTAGATCCAAAGTGACGAAACCAAAGTCGCTGGTCATCTTGAACCTGGACCCATGCTCCAGAGTCTTTCCATTAAAGTACCACTCGATCTTCAAATTTGGATCATCCTTGGGCTCAACTTGGCCCTCCAGATGAAGAGGTTCAGATTCACCCAGCTTAAACTCCGGTTGCAGAGGCACTGTCCACACAGGTTTCGGATATTCTTGTTCCGGTCCAGCGTCCGGTCTCTTCAATTTGGATAGATAAGCGTCCTCCACTTCTTTCACCTTCTCCAGTCCAGCCTCTCCTTGGGGATGCTGAGTCTGTAGATAGATGCTTTGTTTGCTGGTGCATTTCAAGGTGCCTGACGTCTGAGCCGATCCCTTCGAGTTCGTGGCCTTGACGATCACCACTCCCGAGTCTTCCTCGTAAGCGTGGGTAAGGTCCAAAGCTACATAGCCAAAATCGTAAGTCGATTTGAATCTTGCTCCAGTTGGAAGCGGTTTTCCATTGATGAACCATTCGATTTTCATCGTCGGATCTTTGGACGGTTCCACGTTGCACTCGAAGTGCGCATTGTCACCTTCCACGCACTCGACATTGTTCAAATGAGTGATGAATACTGGAACTTCGTATATCGGCTCTGGTTGTTCTACTGTGGTGACATGAGGTTGTTCCAAAGCATCGATCTTTGGAAGTGCGTCAGGATGAAGAGTATCACCAAGCAACCAATGGCGATCGACGATCTTCAGGCTGCAAGTGGACACAGCTTCACCGAGGAGATTGGTGGCTTTGCAGGTGTAGATGGCGGAATCATCGGATCTGAGGCCATTGATGGACAATGTGACGAGGCCAAAGTCGAAGGTACTGCGAAGTCTGGTTCCAGTTTGAAGAGCAATCCCATTCTTGAACCATTCCACGCGCAGATTTGGATCTGCTCTTGGTTCTACCTGAGCCTCTAAGTACACATGTTGACCCTCCACGAGTTTGTCGTAGCTTTCCAGGTGTTTGGTGAACACTGGCGCTTGTTGAGGCGTCGTGTCCACGAACATTTCCGGCACTTTGTTCATCTCTGCCTCTTTCAGTTGGATCTTTTGCCACGCATCCGGTTGCAAACTTTCGGCATCGATGGCCGAGCGCGCTTTCACTTTCAAGGATATCGAGGAAACCGCTTCGCCAGCTTTGTTAATTGCTTTGCAGGTGTACACACCTGAATCCTCCGTGATTACTTTCAAGATATCCAAAGTCACGTAGCCGAAATCGTGGCTTACGTGGAACCGAGATCCTATTGAGGATATAAAATGATATTGAATTATTGGAATATGTACTTTGAAAAAGATATTAGAATATTTAAGTTTTATCTAGTTTTTCAAGTAGTATTTCGTTCAAAATGTTTTAGATTTTTTTACAAAATTGATTAAATTAAATAAAGTTAAAAATGTTGTATCGTTGCAAATAAAGTTCTTACCCATTTTTAGTTCGACTCCATTTATATACCACTCGAATCTTAAACTGGCATCACCAACTGGAACGACTCTGCATTCATATCTAGCCATTTGACCTTCCCACAATTCTGTGGGTCCGGTCAATAATTGCGTGAAGATAGGTTTGTCGAATACTTTCTCTGGCTCTTCAGTGCGACTCGGTCCTTTGTCGGCTTCAAGTTGGGCTATCTTACGTTGCGCTTCGGGATGTTGGGTGTCTAATTGAATACTCGCTTTACCTAAATATGAGAAATCGAAAATAGAAATTAATATAGATTTAATTAAAAATATTATAATTGGTAAACATAGAATTAAATACTGACTTCTGATCTTCATCGAAGCAGTTGTAACTGCTTCACCAAGTGGATTGGTAGCACGACACATGTAGACACCTTCATCTTCCTCTCTGACATGAGTGATATCCAACGACACGTATCCGAAATCGTGAACTTTGGTTATTCGTGAACCTGAACAAATAAATATTCATATTTAATTTTAATTTTTACAATTTAATCTATCAATTCTAAAATACACATATATATCCAAATTTTATGCACCGTAATTTTCTAATTCTTGGCCCCAATGAATTCTTAAACTTAATTTAATTTTCAATTTCAATTCTCGAATTTTTAAATTAAAAAAATGAAAGGACTTACTTGTCTCAAGAGGGATTTCATTTCTGAACCATTCAACCTTCAATGTGGGATCTCCAACAGGAATCAATCTGCATTCGAAGTGAGCTGTATGTCCTTCGGGAATGGCATCGATGTTCTGCAACGGTTGAGTGAACACAGGTCTCTGCCTGGTTTGCGGTTCTGGCACTTCTGGTCTCTTCCAAGGTTGCTGAGCCTCCAATTCGCGGATCTTGTCCATTCCTTCGGGCCGTTGCGAGTCGAGAATAATATTATCTCTTGGAATTACCCTCAGCTCGATCGAGGATACGCATTGGCCTAGAGCGTTGATCGCTCGTACGGAGTATTCTCCTGCGTCTTCGGGAACAGCATGGCCGATATCCAGAGCCACGTATCCGAAATCGAACGTCACGTGGAACCTGGAAGCCGATGGAAGCGGCTTGCCGTTGTGGAAGAACTCAATTCTCAAGTTTGCGTCGTGAAGAGGCTCAACTTGGCACTCGAAGTGGGCTGTTTGTCCTTCGTAGACCTCGGTGGTACCCTGGACAAAGTATTTTAGAATTTGAAAATATTCGTCAAATATCGTATTTTGATTATATAGAAAGAAAATTTATCACATTATTGAATATTATAAATTTATAATACAAAAGATTATTGATTGAGAAATTTGAAATAAATTTCAGAAAAATATTTACCCTGAGTTCCGTAACGAATCTCGGTGGCGTCACTGGTGGTTCTTCGACCTCTAAGCGGGCTGGACGACCTTGGGCCTCGAGTTCACGAATCTTTTCAAGGCCGTCTGGGTGTTGCGTGTCTAAAAGTATGCTACGGCGAGCTATGGAGAAAAAAATTATTATTAAAAACAATCTCATCGATAATAATAAGAAACGTAAGTATATAAATTACTATTTCAATTTATCAATCAATTATATCCTTCTCTTATCGTAAGCACGACAAATATCGACCGCTTCTATCATATTTTCTACATTTACTTCTACATTCACTTCGTGGTCTGTCTTCCAATCCTTCAAACGTGACACGTCGACTAATATGACGATATTTCGGTTGTTTACACGTATTACAAAATTCGTGTTTCCTACAATCTCTATTATCTCGAAAATTTAATTGAGATTTTCTTCCCCTTCCGAAATAAATTTCATCACCGGGATATGATTTATATGAGGAGTTAGCATACTCGTATTGATTCTTGTCGTATAAACGATTTTTATGCACTTTACCAGAATCCATGAATTGCTTGTCACATCTAAACGTGGTTAAAGAAAATGGGCCAAATCTAGGTTTAACGGCCAATGTGTCTCCTCTTCGAAAGTATGGCGGTGGATATATCTTTCTACTCTCGTAACGCTTAACATTGCAAGCTCTTTCGGGAGATTTCAATGGTAGGAAACGAGGAGGGAAGAATCGTTCTTTTTTTGCTAGGAAAGCGAAGATACAATTTTCCAATTTTTGAATTTTTTAAAATTTATAAGTCTACGAATTTTTTTTTTTTTTTAATTTTTGTTCGATATTAAATAATTCCTATTCCAATGATTATAAATTCAATAGATTGCTTACAGCCAATTTTGATGGTGCATGTGTTGACAGCCTCGCCAGCCAAATTCGTGGCCTTGCACATATAAGTGCCGGCATCTTCAGGATAAGTGTAAAGAATATCGAGAGCCACATAACCAAAATCGTGAGTTTTGCGGAAACGGTGCCCTGTCTTTACAGCAACTCCATTCACGAACCTTTGATTGTAAAATCAGTTCGATTTTATTAAATCTAATATTTTCACACGATTCGATTGAACGAATAATTTAATTAATTCGTAACACGAATCAAGGTACCATTCTATTTTTAGATTTGGATCGTTGATAGGCTCGACGCGGCATTCCAAGTGAGCGTGTTCACCCTCCTTTAGATGATCCAGGTTGTTCAATGGCGTCAAGAATACGGGCTTTTGGTGTACAACCTCTTTCTCAATTTCTTTCTTCACCTCCACGGTCTCTAACTCGCGAATCTTCTGCAAACGCTGAGCATCAAGCGTGTCCAAATATAGGCCTTGTTTCGCTGTTCAAAAGAGCAGATAATCTTTAGCTCTGTTACTTCTCACAAAATAATTTAATGTAATAACAATTACTCGACAACTTATAAATTTGGATACGAATCAAAAGGTTATAACGCACGTTCTGACATATATGAGATTGTCAAATATTTATAACTTTTTTTAAATTTCCAATAATTATGACAATAAAAAAAAAGAGACTATAAAATTATTTCGATACCATTATCATTCTTCTTAAAATCTCTAGATTTCATTATTCTCCAACTTTTTTTTAAATCTTTTTTATCAAATTATCACGACACGATATTTTTTAATTTCCAAAATTTCTCTCTAATCTATTTAATATTTAATTTAATCATATAAGAATTTATTTAAACACTCACAATCGACGCTGATGACGCAAGTGGTAACAGCCTCTCCAACAGCGTTCCTTGCCTTGCACATGTAAGTTCCAGAATCTTCCGGATAAGCGTAGAGAATATCGAGAGCGACGTATCCAAAGTCATAGGTGGTCTTGAACTTGTGTCCTTGAGGAATAGGTCTTCCATCCCTGAACCATTCCACCACCATAGTTGGATCATTGACAGGCGTCAACGTCGCCTCGAGGTGAGCGCTCTTCCCCTCGGGCAAATGTTCGATGTTCTTCAATGGCCGCCCGAATTTCGGTCTCTCGGCAACGATCAGATCCTCTTCCTCTACCCGTTTGTAACGCGAGTCGTCTTCAAGGTATTGTATTTTCTTCAGGGCGCTTTCGTGTTGCGTTTCGCGAATAATCGAGGAGCGAGCTGTAATTTAGCGTTTTTATTCAATAATCCTAAATTCCTTTCCTTTCTTTTCTTTTCTTTTCTTTTTTTATATTAAATATAAAAAATTGCGCTTGGAGGACAGAAGGGTCGAGAATAATCATCGAAAGAAGATTATTCGTTCCTTGATGAATCGTAAGTACAAAAAGTACACGTGAACGAATATAAATAAAAAAAAAAATATAGAAATATAGAAAACAATAGGAAAAAACAACACGATGAAACATTCAAAAAGAAAAGGGGAGGGAAAAAAAAGGTGACTATGCATCGTGTGTGTATGTGTGTATACAATTTACAAAAAAGCAAAACTACGTTTCGAAGCCACGTTTAACTAATAAGCATTACAAAAACAGGGGTGTCTAGGTAACATAAAGTGCCTGGTTACATCCACCTGCTGTCCCCGTGCGTGATTTCTTTCTTGGAAGTTCGTGGAAGTATAATCAATTTCAAATTAAATTTTATATTCCTTTTATCACGATATAATAATAATATACTCCAAGCGAGATTGAAATAAAAAAAATCTCTGCAAATTTTCGTAAGATCAACCAACAAATTTCTCTCGCGAGATAATATTTACATAACTATAAACTCACAAAAAAAGAAAAAAACGATACTAAATCAATTTCTAAATCACGATACTCCCACTCCCCTCTCTCCCTCGACTTACACACGGTGTACGAAAATCCTCGAAGGCGAGAAATCCTCAAATTGCACAATTACTTACATTTCACGTCGAGATTGATCGAGCTCTTCGCCGATCCCAGTCTATTGGTTGCCTGGCAGGTGTAGGTGCCAGAATCCTCCGCGTATACCGTGAGCACGTCCAACGCGGCGAACCCGAAGTCACAAGTGGTTCTGTACCTGTGACCGGTGGACAATGGTTTCCCGTTATGGAACCACTCCACCTTCATGGTTGGGTCGGGGTAGGGCTCGATGCGGCACTCATAGTGTGCGCTTTGGCCCTCGACAAGGGCGGTGGGCCCGTTCAGTTGGACCGTGAACGACGGCCTCTCCTTCACCACGATCTCTTCCTCCTCGCGCCGCTGGTATTTACTCGTGTCCTCCAGCGCCTGGATCTTCGACAAAGCGCTCTCGTGCTGCGACTCGAATTGCAGGGCCGCCTTGGCTGTGTTTGGGAATAGGTTTTGTCAGCGTGTCGTTGTACACGTGTCGTGGCATGAGATATACGGCGAGATATGGGGATTTATTTTTGCGTGTCTCTCTCGTGGAAATTGTTAGGGGTGGATGGTGTCTTTGGCTCTGCTTCGAGAGTGCTTAGATTAATTCTTTCGCTATTTGAGTTTGTTTGAGGTTGTTTGAGATAGTAATTATATAACTCTTATTACTGTTTAAATTTTTTATTGATTTATATTTAGAATTTAGAATATTGTCTCGTTAGAGGTTGATATTAAGATTATTCATTGACAAAGATATTTAATAAGATCGTAAAGTGTAATATTCTAGAAAAATCACATTCTTAGGAAGATATTTCTAGAAGAAGTGAAGAGTAATTCTGAGATAACGAGTTATAGTGTAAATTGTGAACGGTGAGTTTGTCATAGCGAAAGGATTAATTACGATTTATTATATGTAATTTAATTTTATTGCAAATATCAATCAATCAATATTCGAAAAATGTTAAATCTTTTTAAAACATAGTTATGTATATGAACGATATGATATATTGAGAAAGTTTTACATAATTGCGATGTGTGATCGGCACATGTTGATGTTGATGATGAAAAAGAAAAAGAAAAAAAAAATAGTTGAAAAAAAGTCTGTTGCGGCCAAGAGTAAAAAATCTTCTTCTGCATTTCTTCGCGAGTTTCGTCGAACGAAAAATCCATCGAAACGTTAAAAAAAAAATCTAACACCAAAAAAAAAAGCGAAAAAAAATCGCTGCACACAAAAGTACAAAAAAAAAGTGATCTACGTTGTAAGCTACGTTGTAAGCTTCTACGCGTTTCGAAAGCTGGCTCATAGCTTACGAGAAGCGACATTGAAGCTTTATTTTCAAAATGATCCTGTACTTCGAGTAGATTTTCTTCGACTTACATTGAACGAAGAGCGTTGCTGATGTCACTGCCTCTCCAAGATCGTTCACTGCACGGCAAGTATAAGTACCTGAGTCTTCAGGATTGACGTACTTCATGTTCAGAGCGACGTATCCGAAATCGTGCATCGTTGTTACACGATTAGCTGATAAGATAGTAATTTATCGTATTAGAAAAGATTTTTTTAAAGATTTTTTGAAAGATCATTTCAAAATTCTAAATTTGGCAATTTTAGCGATGGCAATTTGGCATTTTGCGAATTTTTGCAATGACATACTGTTACTATTCAAATTATTAAATAACATATCTCTTGAATTTTGAATAATTTATTTTTAATTATAAAATTAAATATTCGAAAAATCTTTTTTATCTGTAATTATTTTATCACACTAATGATGTGAATATATCAGTATACATTGCACAGTTAATAATATTATAGATTTTTATTAATTTTATAAATATGTAATATTTAAAAAATCAAGTATATAAAAATTAAGAATTTCTTAAAGTTTAGAACGAATTGAGGGAAGAAAAATAATTGCAAAATTATAGATTGGAAAGACTATTATATTACTTACAAGCTGCAATCGGAACTCCATTTCGAAGCCATTCTACTTTCAGTTTGGAATCACCGACAGGGATTACACGAGCCTCGAAATGAGCTGCTTGATTTTCAGCGACTTTCAAGTCCTTGATGGGCATCGTGAATACTGGAGCTTGAGTAATGATCTCCTCAGTTGTGGTTTTGCGTTGGTATCGCGAGGTATCCTCCAAATAATGCAATCTTTGAAGAGTCTCCTCGTTTTGGGACTCGGTGTAGATTGATTTTTTAGCTATTTAAAAAAGATTGGACATATAATAATTGGACACTAATACGATTAAAAATAATTCTATTATCGAATCCTATATTTCTTGCAATTAATTCAATTTGAATAATATACATATAATTTCTTTTTAACAATTTAAAACTGCAGAGCATAAAATTTAATTGAATTTTTATTATTTATATTATAAATTGTAATTAAAATTAATCTAATGTTTGATGTCAAATTTAATGTATATGCTTTACTTATAAATTATCCTATAATTCAAATATAAGTACTTATATTATGGATAGACTGCAAATTTTTATTCAAATGCATTTTTTTCATTTTACATATTTTCCATATTTTACATAAATTGACTAAAAGTATCTAAAAGTTTATAAATGATTCACTTACAACTAAAATATAACGTTCTTTGCATTATATTATAATTATTTCTAATTAAAAATCAATCAAAATGTCCTTAATTTAATTTCAAATTCGATTAAGAGCACATTAAAATTAAGAGAATTTCGAACTGCTATAATTTCAAAGATAATGACTTTCTATCAATGAGTGAATGATCATAAGAAACAGGGATCTTTGTCCTTTAAAATGCTTTTTCGTTTATTTCGATACGACTTCCGGTTCCCGAGATATTTTCGTGTAAAGAAAAGAGTAATTTTTAATCGTTTACTTTAAATCTGACTGAACCTATTAAAATCAACAAAACTTTGAACCGCTATAATTTCGAAGATAATGATTTCTGGTTAACAAATAAACAATCATTAGAATCATGAAACTTTACCCTTTAAAATGCTTTTTCGTTTATCTCGATACGACTTCCGGTTCCCGAGATATCGTCGTGTAAACAAAACAGTAATTTTAGATTGTTTACTATCTCCATCTTTGTTTTTTACTCGCACTGATCTATCTCAAACTCCAGACAAACTCGAGACGCGATTTCTAGAAATAGTACGCATTTCCAGGAAAAATATAGGTCATGGTTCATTCATAACATCCTTAATATCAAATGTTGTGAAAATTTTGAATGCTTATATCTCGGCAACCGATTGAGATATCGGGATGAAACAAAAACTAATTTCAATGGCATCGTTTTCTCTATTTTCTGAGTGTGTTTTAATGACATATAGACGATTTGAATTGACGTTTTAATTGCATAAAAATTATGAATGTAACAATTTAAGCTAGATTTTTATTTTAGTACAGCAATTACTATTGTGTAATTGCAAAGCTTCGATTTCAAATCTTTTGACAGAGATATTGATTCTTTTTTTTTATGACCTAAAATTCAGAGTTTGAATATATTTTTTGTCAAGTATAAAGTGATTATTGATAAATGAAATAGTGAAACTTTTTAAAAAATTATCCAACAAATCAAATTATAAATCAATTATACAATTATTGCATTTTTAAATAAAATTTTCCAATTGAAAAAGAAAACTATAATAATAAACTTGCTAACGAAACATTTAAAAATCACAACAAATAATTAGATAATAAAAAAACTCACAATGGACAACTGCGCTTGCCGACGTGATAGCCTCTCCTATAATATTCTTTGCTCTGCAGGTGTATGTGCCGGAATCTTCAGGATAGGCGTACATGATATCCAACGCCACGAAGCCAAAGCTATTCGTCTCGACGAATCTGGAGCCGGCCTTGACCGGTTTATTGTTGTGGAACCATTCGACTTTCATCGTCGCATCGGAAACTGGAATCAACCTGCACTCGAAATGCGCCCTTTGCCCTTCCTTGATCTCGACGTTGTTCAAAGAAGTGGTGAAGATAGGGGCTTGGGTGGTCGTCTCTTCGACATCCTCTCGTCTTTGATATCTGGACCTGTCCTCAAGATAATGAATTTGCTCGAGGCCAATCTCGTTCTTCGAATCGGTTAGAACCTGTGCAGTTGATCGACAGGTTAGAGTGCAGGATACTTCGTCGCTGCCAACCAGATTGACAGCGCGACAAGTGTAGGTCCCCGAGTCCTCGGCGATCAGGTCAATCACGTCCAGAGCAACGTAGCCAAAATCGTGTATTGGACGGAATCGGTGTCCTGTAATGAAATTTATTGATCCAATTGATGAAATTGAGTTTCAAAAGTAATATTAAATTTATTAAATTTGTCCCAATAAATATTATAATTGAATCATTTAATAAGTAATTAATGGATATCGATGAATAAGTCTTAAAATAGTAGCAAATACTGCTCCTACTGATAAAACATAATGACCAACAACATGATAAGTATCATGAAGAATAATATCAATAGATGAATATAAAAGTATTACTGGATTAGAAATATTTTGTCTTTTGAATATAATTTAAATATTATAAATCTTGACTGTAATTGCAAATTTGTTTGAATAAATATATTTAATTTTATTATATCGAATTTTGATTATCCAAATGAAAAGAAAAATAATATTTAAATTATTAAAATATGAATTTGATTATTCCTCGATAATTTATATTGTAATATATAAAAATAATTTTATATCAAAAAAATCAGACTAGATTATTTCAGATAAATTGAAGAATATTTATAACGTAAGACTAAATATAATTTTATCTTTTGCATGCTAAATTTAGAAAATTATATTACGGAGCTCGCATACCTATCGTAACCGGACGACCATTTTTGAACCATTCAACTTTCAAATTCGAGTCCGTCACTGGTTCCAATTTGCACTCGAAGTGGGCGTGTTCCCCCTCGCGGAGATTCTCTTGACTTTTCGGAGCTGTGATGAATCTCGGTTTAACGGTGACAACCTCGTCGACCATCTCCTGCCTCTTGTATCTGGAAGCATCCTCCAAGTATTGTATTCTCTCCAAACCCTCGGGATGTTGGGACTCCAAGAGCAAATCTTTCTTCGCGTGTACCCTCACTGAGCAGGACGTGACGGCCTCCCCCAATTGGTTCCTCGCTTGGCAGGTGTACACCCCCGAATCTTCCGGGTAGACGCCCAGGATGTCGAGGGCGACGTAGTCGAATTCGTAGGACGGCCTGAATCTGTGGCCCGTCTTCACCGGCCTCCCATTCACGAACCATTCCACTCTCATTGTCGAGTCGCCGACAGGTTGGAGACGACACTCGAGATGCACGTTGGTGAGCTCCACCGTTTCGATGTTGTGCAGGGCGCGGGTGAATTGGGGCGCCTGCATCACCGTCACTTCTTCTTGTTGGGTCTTGCGGTATCTGTGCATTGTTGAGAGTGTTATTATCTCGTTATTCGAGCAGAAATAGATAGAAATTGAGATCAAGGAAATGTATTAAACTGTATACTTTTGATATTATAATCGAAAAAGTTTATCTATTATTTGTCTAATGGAAAGAAATCAATTACGATGTATGAATGTGTATCTTATTTTTGTACTAGAATTAAATATAATCACAGATGATTGTAATTAAAATAGTACGATGAAAATAAACATAAGCGTAATGATATATTTTTATCGTGATAGAAATAAAAAATTAAAAACATTTGTATATTATATATATATTGCAAAGCAAAAATAAATATTATTTATCAGTTACTTACTATCGAAAATTATTAACCATTTCTCATTTCTTATTTCTTTCTTCTTCTTATATTACACACATTACGTTAGTACGATTTATATTATTATTCCAACAAATACTATTTCAAATGTATCAAAGAAATAATTCCTCCTCCACTCCGTAAAAATATTCTCTGTCATTTTATACGAATATCTTAATCCCAATTCTTGAATATTCAAGGTTTAAATATCACCAACCTTGACGAGTCCTCGAGCATTTGAATCTGCTCGAGGGACTGCTCGTGCTGCGTTTCCGTGACGACGTCTGACTTTCCTATCACTCTGACGCAGGCGGAAGTGTGAGCGGTGCCAAGATGATTGGTGGCTCTGACGGTGTATTCCCCAGAGTCGAGCACTGTCGAGTGCACGATGTCCAAAGCGACGAAACCAAAGTCGTAATAAGTCCTGAATCTGGAGCCAACGGTGACTGGGCGGCCATTTTGGAACCATTCGACCCTCATTGTTGGGTCGCCCATAGGTTCCAAACGGCACTCCAAGTGGATGTTCTTTCCCTCGCTCACCGGCTTAGGATCGCTCAACGGTTGGACGAAGATCGGCTTCGATTTCGATATCTCCTCGATGTGGTATTGGGGCTCGACGAATTTCGACTCCTCCAAACGTTGCGTTTTCTCGTAGGAAATGCGGTGCATGCTGCTCGTATCGACGCTTGAACGAGCTGAAATTTATTTGATTTGATATTTTCTCTTGTCGTTGAGAAATAAAAAATATTCATTGCAAATATTTATTCAATACGAAATTTTGTAAATTGTGTCAATTATCCCAATTAAAAGAAGAAGAACACTTTTAACAATTTTAACCTCAATGTATACGCCAAAAATTCAAAATTTAAATTGATGAATAGCAAAGAAGTATAAAAAAAAAAAAAGAAAAGTAAATCTCTTAAAAAGATCAAAGATGACGAACTTACTTTCTACAACCATGGTGGCGGATAATCGAGCCTCGCCAAGAGCGTTTCTAGCGACGACAGTGTAAGTACCAGCGTCCTCTGGTCTCACTTGAAGTATGTCTATAGCCACGTATCCGAAATCGTGATAAGTTTGAATTCTATTGGCCGCGGTGATGGGTTTTCCGTTGTGGTACCATTCGATGGCCATGGTCAAGTCGCTCTGAGGTTCGACGCGGGCCTCGAAGTGGGCGCGTTGCCCCTCGACGATCTTGTTCGTGCCCTTCAGGGTGCCCAAGAATCGCGGCGCCTGGGTCACTTGCGTCTCCTCTTGGAGCTGCCGCGAATATCTGCTCGAATCTTCCAACGTTTGGATCTTCTGCAATCCGGTCGGGTGTTGGCTGTCGTAAATAACGTCGTTCTTGCTTATCACGCTCAGCTGGGCGGTTGTGTGCGCTTCACCGACGCGGTTGTAAGCGCGGCACGTGTAAATACCGACGTCGTGAATCGTCACGTATTTGATGGTCAGCGCCACGTAACCGAAGTTGAAGAATGTCGTGATCCGTGAACCTGTGGAAACGATTTGTGATAAAAGATCTCGGTTGAGATGTTCAGTAATCGATTAATTATTTTTCAAGGCCACTTGGACTTACTAGCTTCCACAGGGCGTCCGTCCTTGAGCCACTCGACTCTCAAATCGGAATCGCCAACTGGTTCCAGACGTGCTTCGAAATGAGCGAATCCACCTTCTCGTATGCTGTTCTGATCCTTGATAGGAGATTTGAATTCCGGTGGGCTTGTCGGTTCAGGCTGCTCCTGCACGTACTTCTGGTGCATCGCCTGTTGATAGGCTTCCAACTCCTCGGCAGCCTCGATGTACCTCTGTTGCTCGGGGATTCCCAGATCTGTTGTAACGCTTGTGCGTGCTGCGATAATTTCAATGAGAAATAATTAATATATTTCGAATTAATTGAAATACGATAAATTCCATTATTCCAATTCTGTTATAGATTATAAAGAGGAGAACAATTTAAGATAAATATTTATTATCTTATAATATTAAAAAATGCGAAAATGAATTGTTGCATATTGGTGAAAAAAATAAGAGAATAAAATAGCAATGGAATATGTTTGGAAGTAAATGTGAATAATTTTTCGAGGATATTCACCAAAGACACGAAGAGATGCGGAGCTGACAGCCTCTCCCAAGCGGTTCACAGCTCTCACGGTGTAAGAACCCGCATCTTCAGCTCGTAGGTGCAATATATTGAGCGAGACGTATCCGAAGTTGAAGATGGTTGTGATTCTCGAGCCTACGAGTAATCGTTATTTCATCAAACATTTTTCCAAGAATTAAAATGTTAAATGTTAAATTAAATTATGGTAGGTAAATAAATGAAATCCGTAAGAAATTGGAAAGCTACTTACTAGCTGTGATCGGTCTACCATCCTTGAACCACTCCACTTTCATCGTGGGATCGCTTACAGGGGTCAGTTGCGCTTCGAAATGAGCGTTACGACCTTCCTGCAACTCTCCTAGATCCTGGAGTGGCCGGATGAAGACCGGCCGCTGTGGAGAGATGTCCTCCACACTCTCCTGCCTTTGATACTTGCTGTAATCCTCGAGCTGTTGGATGTACTGGAGACTGTCGGGGTGTTGGCTAGTCTGTTCGATTGTTGCGCGTGCTGGAATAACGAATTATTCCCTCGAATCGAACATTATTTTCAATAATTTTGTTGAATAGAGAACTTGGTAGAAAAATATATTTCGAACGATAAATGAATTTAAATTTCGAAGATTCATTTTCCAGAATTGATTATACGATTTATAATTTTTTGCTGTAAGTTTTATCCCAGATTTAATAATAATTTTTCTAATAGGGGAATAATTTTTCTAATGTAGGGATAGATAGAAAATAGTTTGGATAAATTAAATGAAACTCACGTGTCACGCTGAGGGTAGCTCGAGATTCAGCGACTCCAGTCGAACTTACGACGCGGCATAAATATTCACCGCTGTCTTGGAGAACGATGCTAATTAAGTCGAGAGAGATGAAGCCAAATCGAAAGATAGAAGTCGCCCGGGAACCTGAAAGTATCTCATTTTGATTCTCGATTCGAAATTTTAACAAATTTGTGAAAGAATTTAAAGAAGAATATTATATTAAAAAAATTATATTATTAAATATATTTTATAATATTATATTTTTTATTACAATTAAAATTATATTAAAAAAAAAAGTAAACGATTTTTTCGATTCGAAAAGATTTAATTTAAAATATTGAATAATTGATTTCCAATATTATTAATTATTAAAATAACTAATGTGATATTATAATTAAGATTTAAGAAATTACTCACTCGCGTCAAGAGCTCTTCCATTGACGTACCACTCTACCCTCATAGTGGGATCACCCACCGGTTCGATTCTGGCCTCGAAGTGGATTCGTCCACCCTCGATCTGATGGACGTCCTTCAACGGTATGATGAAACGCGGCGGTGGATAAATTCTGTCCTCCTCGGGTGGGGGCAAGTATGGCTTGGCGCGTTCCACGTGTCTCAAATAAATCACTTCGGGGCCAGGCGCTGGTCTGCAATCAACCTCATTTTTATCTCGTTTCCTCATAAATGAAAAGTAAGTTTAATCCTGCCATCTCTTTAATATTATTTAATTAAATTCTGATTATTGAAACTTTATCGAATAACATATTTATACATTATAGAAAATATTGTATCGCATTGATGTATTCTAATACGTTTTATTCGATAAAATTTCATCACTATTAATTAAGGATAAAATAATAAATAATCGATTCCTACCATCTTTGTTCCTTCGGCTCGCGTAAAACGTAAAGTATCCTTATTAAGATTGCAATCATAACTTCGATATCTAACTATTACGATTGATACAGATGATATTGATTCAATCTTGAAGGAACAAATCGCGTAAAAACTCACTCTGGTTCGATGACTTTCGTCGGTCGGGGTAAGTTCAGGCGTCTTGGTTCGGGGGCTGCTCCTTTCGGTGTTTCCACGAAAAGCCGCGCTCTGGTCGCAGTAGAGCCGGCCACATTCTGCGCCGTGCACTGGTACCAAGCTGCATCCGATAATTTTGCGTAGGGTATGTCCAAAGTCGAAGCTCCGCTGCCATCCGTTGATATACGCACATCCGGTCCAGGTGTAATCGGCACTCCATCCTGTATACCAACGAATTTCAATTTATATATTTTACACACCTCGTTGAAACTTATTTCCTATGTAAATAGAACTAAATATAGAAAATTAAAATTCCACTACGTTTATTTAAAATGTAAAAATTAATTTTAAGAAATTTTTATCACTTTCTTCGTGCACATCTTTTTTCTCGAAATTCTTAAAATATTTATTGTATTCATTACTGAAAATTGAAAGACATTTTACATAAAGAAAAGAAAATACAAGAAACTGATGGTACAAATCCATATTAAATCAAAATTCAATTAGCGTATAAAACATTAAAATTTCAATAATAAAGATATCCTTGCTGAGAGAATATAAATCGTTCATTCTAATAATTCACGTGATAATAAATTTTATCCTCTATTAATCAAAATATATATATATTATCTTTAATTTTATTTCATAAAATTGTAATCAGACCTTCTGCCAGGTGATGCGAGGTACAGGAGTGCCAACCGCACGGGCCATGAAAACAACCGGTTCTCCTTCTTTCACGTTCGTAGTCGTGAATCGTTCCACGAATTTTGGCGCGACCACTTGCTCCTTCTCGATCACGTTCAAATTGCACTGAAACGAGGTTTCGCCGGCCTTGTTCCTTGCGACGCAGGTCACGACGCCGGCGTCCGCTCGGCTCACGTTCGTGATCATCAAAGAGTTGTTACCAGACTCGTTCACGAGGATCTTGTGGGTCAGATCGTTGGCCACTTGTTGGCCGTTTATGTACCATGTCACTTCGGGGTACGGGCGGCCCGTTACTCGACAATCAAACCTGAAAATCACGTTTACGTAATCGTTTCCTTTGAGGGGAAAAATGTTGAAATGCTAGAACGAATTTTGTAATTTATATATTGTTCGTCTATTGAAATATGGTAAAATAGTAATTAAAATAGCAAATGCAAGGAATTGAGACTTTATCTATCCGAATATTGATTCAATTGTAAGAATAATGGTCAAAATATCAAAAAGTCAATTATTCATTTTCAATCTAATATTAATCAAACTTGGTAAATTCTGATGGAAATTTAATATTCAAAGTACTCTAAAAAAAACACTCTTAATTTTCTAATCTTCTAATTCTTAAATTCTTAAATTTTCTAATTTTCTAATTCTTAATTTTCTACATCTGTAATTATTTGACGGAGATAAAGACACGAAATATAATAAAATTTATTATTTTAATAGCGTATAAAAAGTGATCTCGACATTGATTAAATTAAACAAGTTAATCGATCCTTTACCTGGTCATTTTTCCTTCGGTGGCGTCGCGGTCGGTACAGGTGCGAACGAAATTCGGCGGCAGAACTTTTCCAGAATCGGTCTCGCCGATCGTTTCAACTTGCTGAGTTTTGATCGTCTCCCTTTGGGCCTGGTAGGCTTGATCCACCTGATCGCTCGATTCGATCGCCAAATATGCAGAGCTGACGGTGCACCCTTGAGGATTTTCAGAGAGCAAGGTGTAATGGCCGCTGTCTTCCGGCAGGGCGACTCTGATCCTCAAAGAGGCTTGTTGATTCGAGTAGCTCATCTCCACGCGTTGCGATTCGCGGATCCTCTGACCGTTTTTGAACCAAGTTAACTGGAATAGAAAAATAGAGAAGGAAATTGAATTTGTTTTTCTATTTTAAACTTATATTTTATTGGCTGTAATTGAATTAAAAATTCTCGTTTGAATGCGTCGTCGAAAAATAGAATTTATTCTTCTTGTCCTTTTTTTTAAATATTTGACAAACGATCTTTTGTGATAAAATTAATAAATTCAAACGCATATGGAAAAGCACATGTCTCGATTAAAAATTTATTACAAACTTTCTATTTCTCTTCTTGAAATATTTTTTAAATTCTTTGCAATTTTCTTGTTACCAAATTTTTCTAGAAAAATACATTTAAATTATTTTTCTTTTCAAACTCATCCATTAATTCCACTTATTTTTTCCACGTCGAAAGAAAAGAATAGAAAGAGAAAAATATACGAAGAAAGTTTGAAACGTTACAAGAAATAAAAAAAAATATACAAATTAAGAGTTTGCTTACTCTCGGTTTAGGATTGCCAGAGATTTTCGCAGTGAAAACGGCGTCGGATCCCTCGACGAGCTTCGAGTTTCTGGGCTTCTGCGTGATTTGCGGAGGTGCAACCGGTCCCAGGTTACGATCTACCACCGTCGAAATCTGCACGTCGGATTCGCCCACGAAGCGGCGAGTGATCGACTCTCGAAATTCTGTTTCCCGCAATAATCTGTATTCGAACGTGTCCACCTGCAAATTAATCATGTTATTAATCCTTGTTCCAAGAAGCAAAATTTCTGAAAAGAAATATTACGATATGCGTCATTTATAAATACATCTCTGGGTCTCCTTTTACGGGCAGTTGATGCATGATAATAAAAATCTTGTAACAAGTCAATTTAAAATAAAAATGAAACTTGTGTTGGAAGAAAGTATGTAAAAATAATTTGAAATTTAAAAAATCGAGGAAAATGAAGAAAAAATGAAATTTATAATTAAATTGTAAAAAATAAGTAGAACGTGTTAATTACTGAGCAACTGAATGAACAAAAATATATTAAGAAATCGTATAAGAAAGTAACGTTTTGTTTTCTATTTATTTTCTTCTGTTTAAATAAATAAGAAACCTTGAAATCTTCGATGCTGACGGAAGTTCCATTAACGTAGCTTCGTTTATCGATTGTTTGTTGATAGCTACGTTGTTGAAAGCTCTGTGTTCCCGTTTGGGTCTTCTGTTCGGTGGATTGGAAAGTCTGCGCGAATTCCTTCCTGTAACCACCCATTTGCTGCTGCGGAGGAGGTCCAAATCCTTCTGGTTGAATGTAAACGGAGCAGATTGCTTCTCCTGGTCAACAGAAATCATTGTGTTCTCTTTTTCTTTTTTTTTTTTATTTTATGAGATAGTGAAGTGACAAATTCTTAAAATATTCTATGATCTTCATTTTTCATAATAAGATAGAAAACAAAATCAAAAAGTGAAAAGAAAAAGAACAAGGAATATTTATAGAAGAATAATAATTGGTAAGTTTCGATTTTTATTTTTATTTTTCTATTGAAAATTTCCAATGAAAATTTTAAATTTGACTTTTATGAATCACCATCATTTTACAAGGTAGGAATCATATAAGAAAATTCAATCTCTAGATTTCAAGAATAAAATAAAAAGTATTCATAATTACTAATATTAGTTTCGTAGAATGCAATGGAATTTTTAACAAATACACTTGCAAAATTTTATATCTTGCAAATCTATAACGTATCAAAGATGTCATTTTAAGATTAAATACACTTAATTATTTATGTTAAATAAAAATTAATATTATTTCCAGATATTTGAAAAATGGCTTACCGTATTGATTCTTGGCACTGCACGTGTATTCACCCTCGTCTCCAGGACCAATCTGGTTTATTTGAAGCGTGACCGCCCCGGTCTTCTCGTCGTAAGACATGTGAATCTTCCATGACTCCAACAACGGTGCACCCTTGTGAGTCCAACAGACTATAGGTTTTGGATTTCCTCTCACGCGACCTTCGAAAATTGCGTTTCCACCCTGCGCGAATCTGGCATTTTTGAATATTTGTTCGAAGACCGGCGGCGATGGATCGCCGGGTCTGCCTGTAAATCTGTGGTCAAAAAAAGAAATTCAAATTTAACTTTCTACGAATGTATTAAATCTCCAAGAGAAGAGAGTAGTTAATATTTTGAAAATTTTAATTTTTCTTGATTAATTAATTTTTCTTTTTTTTTTTTTTTTTGAATTCTAAATCTTTGATTCGATATATAAGTGATACGTACGAGTAAAATTAAAATTTAATTTTTCAGAATTTATTATATGCAAGATAAAAGTGAGAACATTAAATTATATTAAATTTTTCGATTAGATAATAATTCTCACGTAAATTAATGTATCAAATTATCTTTTAAAATTCTAGAAAATACAGTTTGAATTACTTCTTCCCTTTTGTGATCTATTTAGAAGAAAGGCAAGAAATATATACTATAGGGAATCGTTAAAGTACTCACGTTGGTACGGTGGGCGTCGTCTGCATCACAATCTCCCCTTGAACTGCAAATAAGAAAACAAACGAGTCATTAATCCCTTTCGCACATCTCAATTCACGAATAAAAATAAACCCGATGACAGTCAGACTTTCATCGCACGATCATCGATCTGATATATTTCTAAATTTTATTTCCCCTTTCACGTGATGAAAAATATTTTCATTTCTCTTTTTCGCTAATAATGATAAAATAATTTAATTCATAATCTTCGACCATTCGAGAAAAATAAAAAAATACGAGATTCTATTCATTCAAAATTCGTCGTTTTTATTTCGTTTCTCGTTTATGGGATGCTTCCTACTCTTGCATTTCCTCTCGTTCTCCCTAACTGGGCCAGAACGAATCGAGGAAACGAACCGTTGACGCCGTTTTCTTCTGTCGTCGTCACGCCCCATGTCGACGTGCAACTTTTTTATTAGACTCATCCACGCTGGAACCCGACGCAATTAAGTCTATTTGCTAATTAAGCAAATACTTGTGATCCATATATTTAAATTAATATTTTTGCTATTATATTGCACGATTAATTTTATCCAAGTGAATCATTTTATTAATTTAGAATACTTTTTTAAAAAAAAAAAGTTTTTCGAAAGATCCAAATCTAATAAGTTTTTGAATATTATAAGATTATATAAAATTGAAGAATCCACAGAGGGAAAGAATGAAACATTTTTCTTCGATGTAGAAACTGTCATTATAAATAAAAATATATATAAAAATATATTACATAATTCTGATTCTTTATCACACAAATAAAAAAAAGAAAAAATAAAAAAAGAATAAATAAAGAAAAAAAAAGTGTTCTTCTTTAAAGAAATAAAATTACAAAATAATTATTATCCTACATGAAACTGAAACTGTCAATATAAATAGAAATATATAAAAAAATATATTACATAATTCTGATTCTTTATCACACAAATCTAAAGAAAAGTGTTCTTCTTTAAAGAAATAAAATTACAAAATGATTATTATCCTACGTACATGAAACTGAAATTGTCAATATAAATAGAAATATATACAAAAATATATTACATAATTCTGATTCTTTATCACACAAATCTAAAGAAAAGTGTTCTTCTTTAAAGAAATAAAATTACAAAAAGATTATTTATCCTACGTAACATGAAAGAAAAAAATATTGAAATCTTCTTTCTCCCTAAAAAAAGAAGTTTACATCCATCAAATCCAAACATCACGTTTCATCAATCATTAAATCCTTTGCTTACAACGCAAGAACTCGTATATAATCGATCTTTATTACCGTAACGTTTATTCGCACGGATTCCTGGATTAAGTAATTTCGTCTTTTACCGAAACTCTCGCCGACTGAATCATCCGCGCCAACATCTGCGCCGCCTCACCACCCGTGGAAAAATAAAGGATCGATCTTCTTCTAGGCCGTGTTTTCTTTTCGCCGTTTCGTTCGTCGACGAAGAGGCCGAAGGACCCTCTCGATCGAGATTGCGCGGCCAATATACTCGACGATTAACGGGCGCCAGCTACAGGAAATTAATTGACAGAGGGTGGAGGGAGGCGAGACTTTCGAAAATAAACTTCCGACAATAATCTCGCGGCTTCGAGCCACTCTCGCGTTATCAATGGTTTCAAAGCGGTCTGGAGCGGATTCTGGAGGCGGTGACGCGATCGTTCAGAAATTTAAGCCTCGCGGGATAAATTTCGAGGAAAGGGGAAAGGGGGAAAGGAGAAATGTTAAGAGTGTTATAAAGATAATTGTAATGATGGCAAGAAAATAATGATTAGTAATGAAAGTAAGAATAAGGAGATAAGGATAATTTGTAGAATAATTTCGAAGAGTTATAAAATATATAATGACACGATGAAAAGGTTAATGTGATAATGTAAAATAATTTTCAAAGGAAAAATTGTTATTCTTGTTTTATCAGATATTTATCAATTTGGAGGAAAGTTTTATTGATTGAGTCAAAAAACAAAAGGAAGATACAACTGTTGAATAAAAATTAAATAAGTTAAAGATTCAATTTTTATCTTTCATAACTTCTCCTATTTAATTTTTCTTTTAAATTTATTTCAATTATAAAATATACGTATATGCAATGTAGCAGTTAATTTAAAGAAATTTTTCAGAATATTGAATCTTCTATTTTTTTTGAACCATATTGAAAAGACATGCCCCCCTACATTAAATTTTTTACTTTTTACATCCGATTACCATTCCAAGACACATGTTAGTCATCCAACAATCAATCAACCTCCATTAAGGATTCGTGTTAAGATACCAATAAGAACTGTTGAACTTTGTGAGCCAGTAAAAAACGCAACTCGATTACTCACGCCACCCAGAATATGCAAATCGATCATACCGAAACCGAGAGAAGGAATCTATCCTTAAATCCATCAACAGCTCTGTTCAACTCGTGACAACGAGCCATTCATAACCTTGCCAGGAAGAACTACTATGAGGTCACGTGTGCGAAATACATTCTCGGTCAAAAAGTCTTTGGAACATTTATTTTTTTAATTTTTTAGGAACTTTATTTTTTATCGTAATAATAACATCTATTTTTAATCCTCAGATCAATCGTTGAATTAGAACGGTCTAAATTAGATTCGAATTGATTTTTGAGTAATTTTAATTCAGAATGGTCAATTGGGGTAGTTTTAATTCATATTTCGTATTTTATGAAATGAATAATTTGTAATTAATTTGTAAAAGTGTAAATTTGTTAAATTAAATTACAATTTAAATAAAAAACCATAAATAAAATTATCTGTGCCTTTTTTTAAAAAGGAGATTTTTTTATTTTTTTAGTTTAATTGAGAAATATTTTAACATTTCGTTAAAGTATCTCATAATATCAGTAAAATATATTAGATACATTTATTTAATTTAAACTTTTTCATTTTCAGATTCATTTAAATATTCAACAATACTAATTAAGGAATATCATACTAAATTTCATTAAAAAATACTATCGCAAAGGTAATAATATTTTCACAGTGATCAGATATATTTTTCAAATTGGAAACAAACATTAAAAAAATACTAATACAAAGAGATAAAATTTTTTTCCTCGCATTTCTGGACGAACATCAAATACTTTCCAAATTTAAACCAAAAGTTTAAAGAGTATCATACACACAGATTAACCTAAATAATTTTAAATCACTTTATTAAACTAACACAATTCTATTTCTTCGTAAAATAATATTTCTTCAAATAAGATTCAACTTCAATATCAATATTAAAAAAAAAAGAAATCAATTCTCAAATACTTCAAATATTCAAATTCGTAACAAAGCCTCGACCAACAACTAACTAATTCCAAAATTTATTTTTTAACAGGAATGTACGCATACATGGTGCAACAACAACAAGAAAAGGACGATGTATAGACGATAGCCAAGAGAAAAGGAGATCGGTACCATTCTCGCTTGGAACAAACAAAATGGGGGCGGGGGGCAGACAAAGACGAACGCTACCTAGGGAACAGAGAGAGAAGGACAATAAAGAGAAAGAAAAAGAGAGAGAGAGAGAAAGAGAAGGACGTAACGTGGTCGGATAACCGCGGGATCCTATTTTTGCATCGAGATGGGGATCGCGTTACCGTGGGCCATTTTAGGAGCAACTATCTTTGCGCGGCGCCCAGCGCCGCGACGCGTCTACTATATGCACCTCGACCAATAGGCGGAGACGTTACGCAAAGCCAGTCACTGACCAAAATAAAACAGCTCCAAACGCTGTATTACATCCCTCCTCCTTTCAACCTACCCCTCGCGAATCTTTCTCCGATCTTGTCTTGGAAAATATTTATAAATCGTTTATTGCAAATAACAGTGGAAACAGGTTAGGTTAGGTTAGAATATTATATATAATTATGTACGGTTTGGATGGATGTTTTTTTCGTGGGTGTAAGGAGAGTTAATTTTGATGATTTTTCGTTCATGCACGTTGATGGCGTGGAACCATTTTCCTTCTGGTAGTGGGTTGACTGATCGATGGTTGGGTCAGGTTATTGTTTACGAGGTCGGCTGACGTGCTTCCGGCACGATCAGCTGATTTCGAGTGGGGGTGGGGTGTTTCGAGTGATGTAAGAAGGTTGGCCGGTTTTGAGTAACGAGGTTTGAGTACGGTTGTGGTAATTAGACTGGTGTTGAGAAATGGATGGGGAGAAAGAGATTTCTTTTTTAGGGTTTATTAATTCGGTTAATAGTAGTATCAGTCGCGTCATATTTTTGTGATTTATAATATAATTGAAAAATCTTATGCAATAATATTTTATAATAGGCGATGTTTGTTTGGTTGAAAAATTATGTGAGATGTTTGAAAGATAAAGTGTGCTTTTCTTAATTATTTTTCAATTTAAACGCTTGTAAAAAAGAAAATTATAATAAATATAAAATGATTGTATACAAGAAATATTATAAATATTTCAATTTCGAGAAAATAAGTGACAGATTTTGGAATTAAATTATATCTATGTATATTGTGCATTTTGTATTATTAAGTAGTTATTTTTAGATAATTACTTAAGTACGATCTTTAGACTAAGTAGACTAAAAGATTTATGGATCGATTATATTTAATGCTCTTTACATTTAATCTTTTATTACCATGTATATATTTAACATCATCTGTATGGTCTAAATACTGAGCAGATACAATTATTACTTGCTTCAACCAAAACATCCTGCAATCCACTATCGTTTATCAAGCTTACAAATTTTCATGTAAATTCATATTTTTATAAAAAAAAACTTTTAAAGAAATCTGAAAGAAGAATTTATATAGACGAGAACGAAAATTTTAATTAACTTCACGTCCTCGATATAAATAAACGTAACCAATCAACCGAGCATATTTATTACAAGTAGCGTTTCATCGATTCGTTAATGGATCGTTAACTATCGAAGATTAACGATCGAAACTTCGTCGTTGGAACGTTCGAAGATTTTAAGTTCGTGCAACTCGACTCAAGGTGTCGCTTTATTAATAACGATGATTTAGCAGTTTGAGAAATA